GGACAGGTTCAGCACCGAGCTGCTCCACAGCACCCTGCTGCTACCCTGCCCTGCCCCATCCCAACCCTGCCATCCTGTCACCCTGCCCACCCCCCTGAACCTTCCCAACCCTGCCCTGCCATCCTGTCACCCTGCCCACCCCCCCCGAACCTTCCCAGCCCTGCCCTGCCCCTTCCCCTGCCCTCCTGCAACTGTGCCCACCCACCTTGAACCTTCCCAGCCCTCCCCTGCCCCTTCCCCTGCCATCCTGCAACTGTGCCCACCCAGCCCAAACCTTCCCAGCCATCCCAACCCTGCCCTGCCATCCTGCAACTGTGCCCACCTATCCTAATCCTCCCCTGCCAACCTCCACCTTCGGATGCAGGCCCCATTCCCAGCTGGGATGGCTCCTGCAAGCCTTGTGGCAGTGGGAGTTTGACCCATGGGCATTTCAGAATCTGAACAAGGGGCTTGAGAAGTTTTCACTCATTTATTTCTGTTCTTTGGGCAATTATTAGAAGTGGCAACAGAGCAAGATTTTGTGTTTCTTTCCTCACGTCTCTGCTGTGGGGTCTTACTGGCCTGTGGGAATTGAGGGCATGGAAAGGACCAGCTGTTATTCTCTTTTTTTCCCCAGTTTCTTGCACAGAGCAGTTTTGCTGCCTGACAGGGACAGTCTGATGCTATTAGTGACCCAGAGGTACAGACAACAATTCTGATCTATCATCACATCTATCATCACAGCCTTTCCCAGCCAGAAAAGCTGAGAGACAATGACTTACAGAGGGCTCTGCTGCTCTTCCAAACCCTGTGCTTCATGGAAGTAGTCAGGGTTCCTGCTGCTTGTCCTCCTTTGTGTTCTGCACTAGTGCCTGATGGAAACAGCAGAAATTAGAACTCAGTTACATGAAAAGGAAGGACTCCATGGGAAAAACAACTGAGAAATTCACACCCAAATAGAAAATAAACTTTTTAAGTTCAGCTACTTGTCTGCCATGATTTACTGTCCCATTTCCTTCCCTTTTTAAGATCCAAGAAGGTGAAATAATGAAAATTTTGCTTCCTCCTCCCAGAGAAGCAAAACAAATAGGGCAGAAGAAGGTGTGTAAGAACCATCCTATGATGGGAATGATCAAATAGTGATTGTACACTGTGCTGGGAAGGTTTTTCTTTTCATCCCAGGGAAATTTGGGCTAAGAGGAAATCATCTGACATTGCAGCATTATCTTAATCTAAGTCACTTGTCCTCCACGCTGGCACTTGTGCCTTCATATTAAGCAATCAGAGAAATAGAGCCTGTGACATCCAGATCTGTATTTACAATTTAGCTAAAACAGTTCATTATACACTTACACTTTATAAAGTATTTACTTGAATTCCAACAGTGTTCCAAAACCTGCACACAGTGACACAGGTTGGAATTCTCTATATCACTCTGCAATCTCAGGTGTCTTGACCTGACAGAGGTGGGTGCCAGCAGAACCACAGCGTGCTTTGGGTTGGAAAGGCCCTTAAAGCTCTTGCAGTTCCCCCCACGTTCAGTAGCCCAGGTTGCTCCAAGCCCCATCCAACGAGATCCACAAGATCCCACAGGTGAGGAGCCACGAGACGCTGGGACAGGCACAAGTGTGTAGGCAAAGGGGAGAGGAGATGAGAGGCACCAGCTGTGCTCAACCCTCTCTCTGCTGCTGCAATCTCACCCCACAATGGAAAAACTGAATTTTCTTCTCAATGACAATGAGCCCCTCCACCCCCACGGGAGATGCTGGCACTTCTGGAAGCCTGATGGTGAGTGACACAGCTTGGGGCAGAGATGGCTCATCCATGAAACCACAGGCTGCACATGGAGCTCCTCAGCTCCAGACAAGCCCTGAGCAGCCTCTTCCATTATTTACCTAGAGATGATTATCTTTGACACCTTGGGATTCCTGGGGGAAGAGCTCTGTGAGTTATCACACATTTTCCCAAACCCAGCTGGAAAGTGTTACACCTGCTTTTTGAGCACTGTGTGCCTGGAAATAAAGGTTAAGCAACTTCCTTATGGTTCTTTCATGTACCAAGAGTGAGAAACAAATCAAAAGCACAATTCTCTGCTCCAAATCAGTTTGGTAAGACAACCCTTATCCCTGGTTGGCTAACTCAGAGCTACAGAAGTTAAATTAGGCTTTTGATCTTGACCACAATAATTTGGGCCAGCCCCCCTTTTGCTTACAAATAGACCATGGAGTTCTGGTAACATCTTAGGAGGGCTTTAAAAAAAGGAACAGCTGGCACAGGGGGTCAGCACAACTGACCAGACAAAGTACAAGTGGGAGGGGAGTAAATCATTAGCTCGAGACAGGCCTTGAACCAGATCACTGCAGCAGATGTAGACTTAGCAATTCCCTCTTGCTCCAAAGCGAACTTTGCTCCTGTAATATCTGGCAGCTGATGCAATGATAAGAGAATGAAGTCTATAAAAATGTAGCTGACAGTCTGGGAAGTCCCGACTGGAGCTCTTTGTGCCTCCTCTGCCCACAGCTGCTCCAAGTGACAGCTCCCGCTGGGAAGATGCACTGGTGGAAAGTGATGGCAGCCCTTCTGCTCTGCTCACTGCTGCTCAGCCAGGTAAACTGAGACCATACTGAAATAAACTACTTAAAGGGCTAATTCAAAGGACAGGCAGTCCATAAAAGCTGTTATGATCTGGATGGACAACTGGCAGGAGTTAAGATGTGACAGCAGGGCTTTTTACAGGATTCAGCATCAAAAAAATGTGGTTACTGCCCATTGAGTACTGGGCTCCTCTGAGCCATAGCTCAGCCAGTGATTCTGCCTTCACTCCCCAGAAGATGAAAACCATCACTAATTTGGGTAGATATTCCTTTGGGGTCGGGCTGCAAGCCATGCTTTACCCCGAGGGTGCTGCAATCTGCAAACCAGAGCGATTTCAAGTTCAGCTTCACTTAGAATGAAGACTGTTGACCTCAGCAGCAGAACAGGGAGCGCTGCAGCTGCCACGTGTGCTGACAGTCACCCTGCTGTGTTTCAGAGCCACGGCGTGTCCCTGTCCCCGAGGCAGCCCCAGGGCCAGCCCCGCGGCGCCCGGCAGCGGCGGATGACGCCCTTCTGGAGAGGGGTGTCCCTGCGACCCATCGGGGCCTCGTGCAGGGACAACAGCGAGTGCCTCACCATGCTCTGCAGGTAAGCTGGCTCAGCACACTGCTGCGTGCAGGAACTCCCACCTGGGCTCTCCAAACAGGATCCAGAGGTCGCTCTGTGCATAAAAAAAGATACCAGGAATAGGGATGGGGTAACAGCCTCAGACTCTTTAGCAAGCAGAACAAACAGAGCAGAGTCCAGGTCTCCCGAGTGCCAGCCCCAGTCCTTTCACTGCAACCCCAAATAACCCGGCTGGGCAAAGAGAACAAAGGGCTCCAGACAGCTTTTGGGCAATTGATAGACATTCCCATTAGTCCTTCCTTCTAAAGCATGTACTAATGAAAAGTGAAAAGCTTGTATTGGTATCTTACTCGAAATTAATCACTTTAAGGTGATTATATTTAAGCTCATATTTTAAAAAGCAACTACCCTATCAAAAGCTATTTAGTTCTCATTAGGCATGAGCAAATTGTCCAACTACATATAAATTGATTAGTTAAAATTATTAGTTAATTACTTACTGAAAGATGATTTTCTATGGCACCTGTTGTACACATATACCAATACTCAGAGACAAGATAGAAAATAATCATTTTCTACTATATGTAAACAGCAGTAACAGATAAGCATATCCTATTATTAATGAATATTATATACTATATATAATATAGTATATATAATAAATAATAATATAGAGATTATATACTATATGTACATCCTATTACTAATGACTATTATTATAAATAAGCTTATTTTATATTATAAATTATTAGGATAAGTAAGTAAATAGGACAGGGTGGGTGGGCTGCTATGCTATGTTTGCAATTCTGGTGGAAAGCAAAGACCAAAAAATGAATCAAGACTGAATAGTTGAGGGGAAATACAGAATGCCTGAACCCAGCACTGCTGGCACAGGGACACAGAGATGTACCTGGGCCCCCTGGCTGAGCCTGGCAGGGCAGCCCCAGCCCTCAGTGCCTCCTGATGCTTTTTTCCCCAGGAAAAACCGCTGCCTCCTCTCCACGGCATCAGCGTGAGCTGGCACCAAGCACAGCCTGCACTGTTACTGCTGACCATGCTCCACACACTTGGGATGTATTTATTGACTGCTCAGGAGCTGCAAGGGCCTCAAGCAAGCAGAGTATTTAATATTTCTGTCACATGTGCTGACGAAAGGACTTCAAGGAGCACAAGAGCATCTCCTCCCCAGCCACGCCTCTGGAGGCCTCTGGCCAAGCTCAATAAAAGGGCTCTGCATCTCCTGCTCGTTTGGTTTTTTTGTAATGCTTCCTATTATTTATTTGAAGGTATGAATTAAAATATATATTCAGCAAAGTAGTTTGGTTTTCCTTGTATCTTGAGCAAAGTGGATGGTGAGCACAGAGCTGGGGCTCAGTTCCAGGCAGACTTTGGACATTTCTCCTTCCCCCTGGCAAGAGCTAAAGTAGATCAGAGCCCATCCCCTCCCAGTCTAGCTCTTATCAGCCCTCTGATAAAGGCCTGTTGGAAAGAGGGAGCCAAACTGATAATACTGATAGCAATTCAAATATCCTAAATATATCCAGCAATAAGTGGAATGAGAACTATTTACTTTTAATTACTTCTAATCAAATTTACTTAAATACATGTCCTAGACTGACTTTTGCCACTGACCTTCTCTCCTGTCTTAAAATGAATTGATCAAAATGCTGTTTTGATGTGTTGGATGTCGACTTGGAGGCTGAAAGACAAAAACAAAATATCAGCAAGTCTGGACACGCACACTGGATGCTACTTTTCTTTTGTTTCACAGAGGAATAGGATCAATGAAAGAAAATTCTGCCTAAAAATGCACTTCCAGGAAGGAGAAGGGCCCACAAAACAGATACGAGCACAGGGGGTTGGCAGTTTAATACAGAAAATCTATTTGATATTTATTAAACTTAGTTTCTCCAGTTACAGTTTTGCATTGTACAAAGCATTTTAATGACACAGTAGTTAAAAAGATCTTTACAAATTGAAATGTGATACCCTTTTCTCCAAATATTTTAATTGCCATAAATTTGTTTAAAAATACACATTAAACGCATGTTTCAGACACTAAACTTTCTATAATCTCAATACCACAAAATACATAGAATATACTATACAGATGTGGAAAAAATCTAGTTAGTATATAATACTTTGCTCACCATTAACAGCTTTATTACGTGAAATGCACATACTGACTTAGAAATCCTAATTTTGAGCCCCAAAGTACCCTTTGAAATTTCAAATGTATTGCAACAAATAAAATCACAGTTTGTTTCTATTTTTTCTGGTTTTGGTTGAAGACAGATGCCCAAATCTTTTGATAGAAAACAAAATGTAACACATGGACTTGTCATGTACAAAGCATAAAACAGAGACATCCCATTAGTTACTAATAGTACCTTTCTGTAGGATTAATCAGGGCTTCATTTATAAGTGACAGGTTAAAAGTTACCTCCCCTCCCCAGCCCTCCCCCAAAAGAAAAACCCCTTCTTCACCAAATAATAATTTCAAATAAGATAAAGGATTTTTAATAAATATATAAGCACTTTATCCTCCATATACAAAATTTTTTTAAAACAATTTAAAAGGGGGACCAGATACAAATGTCAGGAACTGTGCTTGGAAAGTCATGCCTGGTCCTTGGAGTAGAGTTTGGGATGTGGAATGCCAAGGCAGCGCCAGGAGCCGGTGCTGGGACAGGGCTGGGGACTGGGGCAGGCTGCCCCAAAGGAACACAGCCATGGGAACTGAGCTCCCAGGAATGGAACCATGGCCACACCAAGCCCAGCTCACACAGCCATGGGAACTGAGCTCCCAGGAATGGAACCATGGAACCATGGCCACACCAGGCCCAGCTCACACAGCCATGGGAACTGAGCTCCCAGGAATGGAAGCATGGAACCATGGCCACACCAAGCCCAGCTCACACAGCCATGGGAACTGAGCTCCCAGGAATGGAAGCACAACCACACCAAGCCCAGCTCACACAGCCATGGGAACTGAGCTCCCAGGAATGGAACCATGGCCACACCAAGCCCAGCTCACACAGCCATGGGAACTGAGCTCCCAGGAATGGAACCATGGCCACACCAAGCCCAGCTCACACAGCCACGGGAACTGAGCTCCCAGGAATGGAACCATGGAACCATGGCCACACCAAGCCCAGCTCACACAGCCATGGGAACTGAGCTCCCAGGAATGGAAGCATGGCCACACCAAACCCAGCTCACACAGCCATGGGAACTGAGCTCCCAGGTGGAATGGAAGCACAACCACACCAAGCCCAGCTCACACAGCCATGGGAACTGAGCTCCCAGGTGGAATGGAAGCACAGCCACACCGAGCTCAGCTCACACAGCCATGGGAACTGAGCTCCCAGGAATGGAACCATGGCCACACCAAACCCAGCTCACACAGCCATGGGAACTGAGCTCCCAGGAATGGAACCATGGCCACACCAAGCCCAGCTCACACAGCCACAGGGAACTGAGCTCCCAGGAATGGAAGCACAGCCACACCGAGCCCAGCTCACACAGCCATGGGAACTGAGCTCCCACCAGGAATGGAAGCACGGGAGGCACAGCCACACCAAGCCCAGCTCACACAGCCATGGGAACTGAGCTCCCAGGTGGAATGGAAGCAGGGGAAGCATGGCCACACTGAGCCCAGCTCACACAGCCATGGGAACTGAGCTCCCAGGTGGAATGGAAGCAGGGGAAGCATGGCCACACTGAGCCCAGCTCACACAGCCATGGGAACTGAGCTCCCAGGAATGGAACCATGGCCACACCAAGCCCAGCTCACACAGCCATGGGAACTGAGCTCCCAGGTGGAATGGAAGCACAGCCACACCAAGCCCAGCTCACACAGCCATGGGAACTGAGCTCCCAGGTGGAATGGAAGCACGGGAGGCACAGCCACACCAAGCCCAGCTCCCCGTGAGCTGCCACAGCAGCTGGAGTTGCTCCAGAGCAGCCAGGGCTGAGCCTGAGCTGCCCAGGGGAGCCCAGCCCAGGAGCCCTTCCCTCCCCAGGGGCACCACAGCCCCAAAGCTCGGCCACAGCAGGATCCCACTGCCCCTTCCTGACCCTCCAGGAACAGCTCTGGATCTGGGTGAGTTGGTGAGCAAAGCTCTGGCTCCTCTCTGTCCTTCAGGATGCCCAGCACTGACCTCACTGCTCGGGAACAGGGGTTTTCCAGAACACTGACACAGCACAGGGAAAAGCTTCAACCCTGACCCAAGGATTTGTCGTGAAGGTAAGAATTTGGAAGTTGTTTACTCCCCAATGGGTAATTCAAACTTGACTTGCTCAGGCCCTTGTGGATCTGCCTCAATGGAAACACTGCAGTGACAGCAAAGATCTGTTCAGAAAATGACATTAAATACAGCAAAGGTAGTTTCTCTCTCCAGCAGTTTGCCTTTTGGGCAAACTCCATAATTCTCTGCCTACGGCTTTATTTTACTTGCCCCAGGCAAGTGCTACATCATTCCCATAAATTCTGACTCTCTGTGTGTTGGGGCCATTCATAAATACATTTCAGGGCATTTTTTGTTACCACAGCAATCAAGCCTCAGCAATCTAAAGGAATATACATTGCACTCCTGGATAATATGCAATATTTATCACCAATAAGATGGTGACTCAGCACTCAATAAATAATATATCAATATAGTCAGTTGCACCATAATCTAAAAACAAGTATAACATATACTTTGGACAGACTGAGTCATATATATATACATATATATTAAAAGACACATACAATACAAATTGCATACTGCCATCGAAGCCAAGGAGAGCCATCCGTCTGCTCTGCTTTATGGCTGAGATTCAAATCAAAACAAAACTCTTGGGCTGGTTTACTCTGGGGTCCTGAAGATTTGTTTGGAATTATAAATGGTTTGCACCTTTATCACCTGGAACCTGCAAGTCTGAGAGCAAAGTCAAACAGCACAGATAGCTGAGCAAGCCTAGTCTGATTGAGCCATTTTTAAGATTCACCAACTGGGGCCCTGATCAGCAAAGGGATTAAAATTACAGCATTGATATGTATTGATCCATATTCCCTGTCCAGGGAATAATTTCGGAAGCCAGGATTGGGGAGTCCCTCCTTAGTCACTCCTGTGACCTGCACTCCCCTGTGGTGCTGGGAGCTGCCCAGGACAGGGACAGAGCCCTCCTGCTTTGGCAGAGGGATGGAAGCCTAGGACTTAATTGCTTTTTTCTTTTTTGGCTATAAAATCTGATCAAGTACAGAACTTTCCTCTTGGAAGCAAGGGTCAATCCCAAATTAAGATATGCTTTTGGAATTGTAAGGTTTGAACTGATCTGTTTGCACCAGCCCCAGCTGCACAAGGCATTTCCTATCCATCGCCAAGGCCCTGCGCATCCCCTGCACGGACACAACGCCTGGGACAGCACTCCAGAGGATGGGCCACCATGGAGCTCACCCTTCAGCTGGGACACTTCCAACCAGCTCAGGTCCACATTTTGACACGATGCTAAAAAAGCCTTCTGGTTGTTTGAAGCCAATTTCTAAGATCCACTGCTCTAGGGATAAGCGATGCGTTTTCAAGGGGTCGATTTTGCGTGACACCAAAAGGTATTTGTGGGACTCTAGTTAAGGAAAAAAAATTCCCCGAGATGCCACCATTCCTGCTGACAGCAATGGTGACTGTGCACAAAGGAGCAAGCCAAGAACAGCCACGCTGGCTAGTGCAGCACTACACACAAACCCACCCACGAATGCAACTTCTACCAAGGGATTTCTCAGCGTCAGAGGTGTGCGAGGCACTTCAGAGGAGGAAAGGAAACACAGCTGACAGTGTCCCATGCCCACGGCGGGGAGTTTGAGGGTACAGAGTTCTGTCTCCAACAGCAAAGACTAACAGAAAGGTGACCTTGCACAGTGATTCCATAAAAAGGATGCTCCGACAGACCTGAAGAGTCGAGTCAGGGAGAGCCCCAGGTCTGTTCCCCGTTTGTCAATCCGGACGTAGCAAAGCTTTTCTGGAAGTACAAAACACGCTGGGACGCAAAGGAAGCTCTACGAAGATGCAGCTACCTTGTAGTAGGTTACTAATTTGCAAAACTTCTAAACTCTTAAAGCCCATAGGACATACTGCAGTACTAAGGAGCGTAGAATTCTATTCCTTCTCTCGAGGTTGCCGTGATTTTGGCACTTAACTACACCTACACAAAAAATTTAGTGCAATAATTTTCCTGAACATGCACGTTCATATCTGGTACAGAATAAAGGGTTCAATGGGAGAGAAAACAAAGCAGCATTCCACAATCTCACTCCAAAGGATTCAGAGTTGGACTCTGGGGAAGGAGACTACCACGATGAGTCAGTTTGTGTGACAGACACCGGGACTTTGAAAAAGGAAATGGAATTTTACCCAAGTACTGCAGAAGACCACTGCATACAGTATACCTGGTCCTGCTGAAAAACATCTTGTAAACAGTTCATAAAATCTTCATCTAAAAGTAAGGCATAAGGCACACCAGACATGTTGGGGGCACTAAGCAATACTGAAAGCAGTAGCATTTGAAACCTTTAACTCAGACAAGCACCTCACATGGAAAGGTACTTTGGTTTGCACTCGAAGAGGGGCCACCTGCAGCTCCACCACCCCTCTGTGGCACCCAGCAGCCCCCTCGGGAGTGGACGTTACATGACATGAACGGGACCTTCATTAGCACGGGGTAAAGCCAAGTTTGCCATCCATCCTGCACAGAACAGTGCTTCCTGCAGGAGCAGCTCTGCTCCCACCCCACGGCGGCTGCTGCGCTGCCAGCCTGTAGTGTCCATCACCCAGCAGACCCTAAGAGGACAACATGGACCTAGAGTTCTACTAAAGATTCCTGGTTTCTCAGTCAATGGAAAAGATGCAAATGACCGTTCTGGTAGGAACTGAGCTACTCTTGCGTTTGGAACCACAAAGTTCCCCAATTTTGTAACTGTCAAAAAGTGTCAAGCATGGAAACAAAAGGTATTTGAAATGAAGAGATGCAAAAAAGCACGAGATTGTCCTTTTCCAAAGCCTTTCCTGTTTGCATCGCACCCATCAAACTGAAGGTCATTCCTACACCATTGCCTGGACGTTACATTAAATGCAAATTACTGTAATGTTTTGTGATTGTTATAGTGTTAATCGATGGCTTGAAGCTGCCTTGGAAACAATCCAAGGCAGATCCAGCTAAATATTTTTCCATATAAATTTCTTTATAATTCATTTAAATGAAGTATCTCAATACGTAGAAGAATATCTGGAACTTTTCTATTTAGTACAAATTCTGCAATAATAAATCTGTAATTGTCATTTATTAGTCGACTCATAGGCATTAGGCATGAGAAGTATGGTGTCCCTACTCATTAGAACCTATCAACCCTAGTTCCTTTTACAGGCTCTACCACCACAAGACATTACAGAGTAACAAAGCTCACAACGTACTTAAATAAAGTGTCTAGGTTTAATTTCTAAGTACTCAAAAGGGGAAATTTAGGGAAGAAGAAATAGCTAAAACCAGCCCCAAAGGGGGCTTTTCAAAATTAAAATTAAAAAAATTAAAATAAATAGGATTTAAACTGACTATTCATGTATTGTGACCGGAATCCCAATGATCTATCCATGACAGATCAGCAAAACTACAACTTTTACGTAGCAAATTTTCAAATATTTAAATAACTTAAACCGGGAATACTGGAGAAGTCCATGAACCAGCTGATTTGGGGTTAAACACAAAACACAAATGAGGATGGGAGACATGGGAAAGCATTCCTTGCTCTTAGTGTCAACTAAGCAATGTGTTATGGCAGTCTTCCTTATTGACATGACACAGTGTTGTGGAGAGGAATCAGAGGCAGCTGAAGAGGGGCTGGGCCGGGTCCTCACTTGGCGTCCAGGCGCAGCCAGTGCAGGCCCTGCCGCGTGTAACGCACCAGCTCCGTCATGATGCTCGTGTTAAACACCAGGGGCCCCATCACCTTGTCCAGTTCTGCAAAGAACTCTGCAACAGCACAAACACACGTTAAAGGAGCACGCTTGGGAACCACACCCACCCCCAGGTGCCAGCAGCCACTGCTGGGGTGGAGGGAAAGGGAATGAGGAGAGGTGGGGGAGTGGGGAGTCAAGGAGAAAGGTCACTCCTAATCCATGTCTTTAGTCTTCTGCACAGGACTGCTTGGAAACAACTAAACTATTGCCAAACTTCTTGGTCTTCCCCTAAAATTTATATTTCATTAGTTGAAAATAATTAAACTATGCCAAACTTCCTTAAGAAGTCTTTACTAAAGAATTTCAGAAAGGGAAATGAACCAAGTTCCTCTTCCTACACTGAACATTTCACAGGAACACAGCAAAGATTTTTATGTCACAACTCCAGCACCACCTTGACAACCACAACACCCAGCCTGGGGGTTATCCCTGCAACCCAAGGTATCACATTCCCCCTGATTTTGCAGAGGTTCAGCACTCAGGGCTCCATCAACAGAATCAAAGCCTGGGAGTGTTCCAGCCCCCTCTGGAGGTTTCCATCCCCCTGAGGCAGCCCTTACCTTTCTGCTCTCTCGAGAGCTGTTCTGCTTGTTCCCAGATTTCAGTGGCATAGAGGAAGTTGGAGGTGACCTGGACGTAGCTGGCAGCCATCTGATGGATGCGCTGCGGGATCGTCACCGAGGACCCGCTCCCTGAAGGGTTGGCTGCCCCGGAAGAGTAATTTCCTGAATTCCCTGGAGACAGCTTTGGAGAGACTGGAGATGGCATCCCAACAGGTTTGCTGCTCACCCAGAGGGCAAGATGGAAAGGCAGAAATGCACCAGCTTTAGACACACCATGCTCTGAAATGTCTCCTAAGATCCCTCTGCCCACACTCAGGGTGTGGGATGGGAAAACACTCCCAAAATCAGGAGACCACCAAAAATCAGGATTTGCCCTACAACAAATGGGAATCTCGAGCTGGGAACTGCTAAGGATCCTCCAATAATTATTTATAGCTTACAAAACCTAATTACCAAACCTCAGCATCTCAGAATTCAATAAAATCTTAAATTCATTGCTTAAATGAACATTCAGAAAAAATTACAGCTACCTGGTAACTCCACTGCCAGAATATTGCACTGTATAACATTATTGCAGGTATCACAATGGAAATCTGAAGTGGCCCCACCCTTAAACTCATGCAATAATTTATCAAAGGTCCATTATTGGGTTTAAAAGAGCAGAAGCAATTGCTAAACTATGGAACAGAGAATCCTGCAAGTGCTGGTAACCTCTGGCCTTGCAGCACTAACAAAGCTCTTGTTTGGGGGGAGAAGCATTAAATTAAACACCAAAACTCCCTGGGATGAATGGTTTGTGGGTTAGTGGCACACTGCTCCTTTTTTACCCTGCCAAACCCTGCAGAGCTGCAGCACCTCCCTCCACCATGATAATTACACAAAAAAAGGATCAAAATCCACACCCTTCAAATAACCACCCCAAAAGCTGCTCCCTGAGCCCCCTGGCACACAGGAAATGGAGAAAATGTCTTTTAAATTGAGAAATAGAAGTAACAGCTTTTACCACTCACCTTCCCATACCAGGTGACGGTGCTTGAGAATTATTGTAGCAATTCTGTGGGGGGAAAAAGACACATTTTACCTGATTTGTACTTATACTTTCACTAGTTACATTTTATCTGCATGTTTAATTGGTTCTTTTTAACCAAGTTTTTTTTTCCTAGTTGTACTCTGAAGTTATGTTCTCAATAATATCACAGTAAACTGTAATTTAGGGAAATATCCTTTTTTACTGATGGCCAAGACACAAGGGGTTATTTTAGCAAAACAAACAAGTATTAGCCCATTGCCCCTTATGGGAACATTTGAGATTTTTTCAGCCCTTTAACAGAAAGACTCTTATCACTGGCAGTGAACAATTGAAGATATCCCAAATCTGAGAGACTGGGTATGTGATGAGCCTGTTTCCTCTCAGCACTGAGAGCTGGAAGCTTCAGAATCAGCTGCACAGAAATTTAGAGAAATTCATGGGTAATTTCCCTAAACCCAGCCAACATCCCACTGCCATCAACTTGAAGTCTACTACATGTATTAAAGAAGAACAAATTAACAGAGCTGTCACGCCAGGACCAGCAGGGTCATGGTTATTAAAGCTCTGCCCAGCTTTAAAACACCTTCAAGTCCAGCTCTAAACAGGTGTCCACATGCAGCAGTCTGAAACTGGATTTGGGAACTTGAAATTATGTAGAGCTTCCACACCATTAGGTTTTATTGTTCAGAAAACACAGATGCAATTACCTTCAGATGTTCAGTCAGAGTTTTGGAGTATTTCAATGCACTTTCCTTTTTCAGTTTGAAAAGCCTCAGGTACAGCAGAGCTTGGCACCGAAGGCTGCCCAAAGACAGGACAAATCAGTCATAATTAAAGTCAGGTTTATCTCAACTCAGTGAATTTCAAAAATCTAATAGCTGTGGTCATGATGTTCTCTCTGCCAACTCAGCCCTCAAGTTGTAACTCAACCAGAAAATCCACAACCACCTTGAAATCCTGAAGGGAATTCAGAACTGGAACAGCTCCGTGGGCCTCGAGCTGGAACTGAACTCTCAGTGCTGCTGCTGGGCTTGGGAGGCACCACCCAGTTGAGGCAAGGGGTTCATTTACTGCTCCCCCGAGCCCCTGCCAGGGCCTGCCCTCTGCTCCTCCACACCTTCTGCAGCCACTCCCTCGGCCTCAGGGCTCCTGGCAGCCCCCAGAGCCAGTCCAGGTGTGATTTATCCCTGCCTCAGAGCTCAGGAGGCATCTCCTGCTCTCACCCTGCAATGAGGCAAAGCCCTGGCCCTTGCTGGCAGCACCCCCATTTACAGCCATCAGACACAGATGACTGTTTGTGTACAGACAAGTGGAAATCTCCTGTGTTTGGCTCAGGAACACCCAAGAGCTCAGTGCAAAGCAGCATTTTGTGTAGGTTACAGATGTGGGCACTGCAGGAAGTCCCAGCACACTCACCAAAGCACTGCCAGCCTTTTGTCTGCAGCCGTCGCATCCGGGGCCAAGTAATTCTTCAGTTTCATAGTGTACCTGCAGAGAAAGGCAGCAAATCAGCCCCAAAACAAAAACTGCCTTGGTTTATCATTCACAAAACACTCATGTTCTCATGAATTTCCAGTTTCAGCTGTCCCCACTGTTTTAGGAACATCTCTCAGCCCTGAATAAAGCATTGACTCAGCAGTAACCAGAATAATTCTGCTCTTTGTGGGTCACTCATTGTAGAGGGACTTGAAGCCTCAGCAGGAATCACCTCCCCCTTCCTGGAAATGCTTTCAACTCCAGCAACTGGAAGGAACTGGTCACTGTTCCAGTGTTACTGGGAATGACAACAGATCTCAAAACCTGGGGGCAAAGCCTCTGCACACCCAGAGCTCCCCCCACCCACCTGCCCCTGCAGGAGCCCTGCAAAGCTTACTTGATTAATTCCACAGTTTCTGAATACATAGGGAACGGGGACTTGGATTCCTGAGCATTTTTCTCCAATGCATTCCCACACTCAATGAAGGACACGACAGCATCCAGGTAGTACACGGCCTTCTCGAACCTGTCCGACTGCAAGGGAGGGAGAAGCCTCAGCACCAGGGCAGTGGTGCCAGGGAGTGCCAGGAGCATGGCACAGCTGCAAACCAGCCCCAGGACTGGGGCACACGCTGGGGGGGCACTGCAGACCACTCACCAAAGCATCTGCATTGTGTTTCAGCTTCTTTGCTTCCTGCAAATAGTGATCAGCTGAGTAAGTCCTGCAAGAGAGGGCATGGACTGAGGGACTGGAGCCACCCATTGCCACTGCCTTTTGTAGCTGCAGCTCCTTAATGCTGCCACATTCCAGGGCTTTTTCTGCTCTAACTCAAGCTACACTATGATAAAACTGTTTAAAGGAATCTGTTAATTTACTTAACTAAAAATTGCTAAAAGTAGTTTCGAGTTAATTCTGTAGTTTCAGGTAATTCCAACAGTATTTCAAGCAAGTTCTTAAGCAGAAAGTTATTTTACATTTGGTGTGCAAACATAATTTCATCTGTAAAATGAATTTAAAGAAGTGCTTTCAGAGCAAGCTGAACCTGAATTGGCCCAACTGAAACCTCAAGTCTGCACAAGATGGTGAAATATTTGTTTTACTTTTTTTCCAAGGTATTTTCTTTGACAAAGAGCTTGTGTGTAACATCTTCTGTGGTGCAAAATGCCAGCTCTGCTCCATGGGAGCTGCCTGTGCTCGAGATCCAGAGGGAAAGGGAATTTTCTGTCCTTACCTATCATCAAAAACAAGCTTTGCTCTCCTCGACTTCACACTTTCCGTGGCCTGAGCAGAGGCAGGAGGGCAGCTGGAGGAATTGTTCAGGATCTTTTCCTGGAAGGGAAATCCATGCCATGATTACAAGAAGAGCATTTGTTGCACAGATTCCCCCATGGCTTCCCCATTGCCTCCAGGAAGGACAGGCTGCAGGAGCTCTGGGAATAACTCAGCTCCCAGGATGCTCCCACAGGGCTGGGCTGGGCTCCTCCTGCAGCCAAGGCTTTCCAGACACACCAGGGGCAGGAAATCCCTCCCTCCATCTCACCTGTCACTGTTTCTAAATCCTGCTTTTCTACTCTAACAGAGATGAGGAGGATTTGGAGGATTTCTATCAACAATACTCTCTCTGAATGCCTTTGCCTTGAAAAACTCACACAGGAGTAGTTACTCCTTTGAGGAAGACATGAGTAAGCACACCTGAGTATAAAACAACAAACATATCACAAATTAAGCTGGCTGGAGGACATTTATATTTTTAAATTCCATCACATCTATCTGCCCAACCTAAATCTCTTACAAACCATTTTCTGCACCATCTCCATAACCATGTTTTCTGCCCTCCAGCCATGGAGAGCTCTGTAAATTGCTGAGCTGGAGTTGCAATAATCTTCCTACAATGTCATAAAATGAGAGTCAGAGCTTCCCAGCCCAGCAGTGAGCCTGGGCTGAGCTCCTGCTGTCCTCTGGGACCAGGACAAGCTCTGTGTCTGCTCTGAGGAGACCAGAGCAGCCTCACAGTTCCATTTCCAGCTTTCTAGGGATGTTCTTGTTAACCACCTAAACAATGAACAGGCAGCACCAGTCACCAGGAGTGATTAAAGCCATTCCTCTACTAACACAGGGATCTGGCAGGATAAGCATTCATATTCCATGATCTCTCCAAGGTGTCTTCTCATTTATGGCCTTCCAAGGCCCCTGAGCTCTATGACAGGAAACAATGCACACCCCAAACTAATGATGTTTGAACTGAACTGGAAATGGTTTTTTAGATCAAACTGAACAGAACACAGGAGGCAGGGTCAGAACCAGCCCTTTACCTTGGCTTCCTTGGCACTGCTGGACCCCTTCCCCTCTGTCTTCTTCTGCTTGGAGGAGGAGCTGCTCTTGCTGCCACTGCTGCTCTCCTTGCCCGGGTTGCTGCTGGATTTTAGGGATGAGGACTGACTGACTGTTCTCTTCCTGGAGCTGTGCTCCTGCTTGGAATCCTTCTGCAGGGCTGGGGCAGCAGGGGAGGGCAGCAAATCCTTCTCTTTAACAGCACTTGGCTTTGAAGACCTGGAAAAGAGGAACAAATTCAGGGGTTGGGTTTCTTCCTTAACAAACAAAACCAAGACAAACAAAAACAACCCCAAAAAAGCAACGCACAAAAATCTGATTTTTAAATCTCTAACTAAACACCTTTTTCCCCCCAAGATTTTTACTGTCAGACCCAGCTTTGGAGAAAAGCAGAATAATCCTCTCAGTGAGTAGGTTTCTCCAAAGCCAGATTGAACTTGTTTTCACCATTTTATTTGTTCTGACCTGAAAGCACAGGCAAAGCCAGACAAGTTCTAACCATAAAACCCCACCCCTGCACCAGTTCTGTCCAAAAACCATCCCAAACCCTCCCAAATTTCAGCAGTGGGAGCCAGTGCCAGCGCCAGGCTGTCTGTGCACACCAGGCAGCCAACAGCTCCAGGGAAAGATGCTCCAGATAAAGCTCTGGAACTCAGGGAATGGGAAACTTCCCCAGCACAGCCTTTCAGGACACTCTCACTTGGCTGCTGAGGAATGCTGCTGGCTATTCCTGCCCTCCCACCATTCATATTTTTACACATTATTTCTGGAAAAATCATATTTCATTTAATTAAATGTCCTTTAGAGAACTGCGCTGGCAGTCAGGAAAACAACAGGAAAAAATCAAATATCAGGTAAAAATCAAACTATCCATTCATTCTACAGCTGTTTCCTAACAAACAGTAAGACACTGTTTAATTCAGAAGGGGCAAACAAAAGTTGTAGCATCCAAACTGCTGCAGCTTCTCACACCTCTGTAATTTGGCAATTGCTCACTGGACAGGAATATTTTCCATGACACAATTATACCAGTTTTCATTGCCTGAACTGAAACAGAAGTTTCAAAATGCAGTGGAAAAAAACTTAATCTCTCCTGTGGATTAATACTGACCAAGAAATGAACCAAATAAAGGCATAACAGGTCTTACAAAAAACATGGGGAACCCAGAAATAACATATTAAACAATGGGACTGATCTGCTCATTCTGTACTACCTTGCTTTGGTATCACTCACACTTTTCTTGCACTAATAAACAAAGGAGATGGGAGATAAATCCATGGATCCAAAGCTCAATGCCATCAGCTTCCCAAAGAAAACCAGTTCAGGAGTTTATTCCCACTTTAAAACTTACTAAACAGAGAATTACCAGATGGGGTTAATTTAAAAGCACAGATTTTGATTCTAGACCAAACCCAAGTCCCACTGTGTATCAGAGAAAACCAGGAAGGAAATATTCCCTTCACAGGAGAGGTCACCTCATTTTGTTAAGGAGCACAATTGTCCTTGGCCAATGTTTTTGGGGATGGAAATTCATTTCCACCAATTGCTTGTAGAAGCTCTGAAGTAAATTTGTTTGAAGGGTAAGAAAAAATGAAATTTTACCAATTAGGAGGAGGAAAAACTTAGGAAAACTTAGGGTGGGAGAGGGGAGAAGGGGGAAGATGAGCACCATTCTCTCCACAGGCCCCCTGACCCTCAGAGCAGGAAGAGCAGAGATACTCACTCCCTGCTGCTGGAATTCTTGTGTCCTGAGGGAGCTTTTTCTTCCAGTTTCGTTTTCTTGCTTTCACTGGCTCTGTTTTCATCCTCGTTCTGAGCAAAGCAAATGAGAGAAACTTCCAGCAAAGATCCACATTTACACACCACTGAGAGTGGAGTATTTCACACAGAGACAGCACTGAGCAGGTGTTTCACAGTTAGTACAGAGCCCAAAACCATGGCCCATCCTCAGCCTCACAAATCCTTACCAGACCCCAAAACCATGGCCCATCCTCAGCCTCACAAATCCTTACCAGAGCCTGACATTAGAACAGAATGAAAATCCCAGTCTGGCTGCTAAATTACAACCTGATAAAAGTAGCAACAGCCAAGTTATTCATTTCAGCACAGATAAATTACAAACATGAAATCTCATGAAAATCTGCCAAAGGCTTTGGCAAGATCAGGAGACAGATTTGATGTTGTGGGGTCTAAAGAGGTGTCTGATCAATGCCAGGAAAGGGTAGAAATCAAATCAGTCTATTAAAGTCAGCTCAGAGATGCTGAAGACTAAATATTGATATAAATTTAATCCTCAGATCACAGGGTCTTGAAGGTAAATTTCTAAGATGTCTTCACTGAGCACTGGAGGGATCAATCCAGTGAGTAAGAGGGAAAATGGGGCCTCACAGAATAAATCATCTGGTAACAAACCCCAGTTTTGTCACTGATGCTGCAACCTGAGAATTGTGATCAAGAAAACCCAGGAAATTAGAAAATCAAGTGGTGGCACTCAGGTTTGAAGCACAAACTTAAACTGCAGGGTGGGGAAAGGGGCTCTGTCCTTGCCTCACCCAGGTTCCCATCCTCTCAGGAAGCAGCAGAGCAACCTGAGGCTTCACAACATTTAACCACCACTGTTTCCTGGGATAAATCCTGAATTTAACTGATCTCACCAAAGCTTTGTGGTTTGGATGTGAGAGCACAGATCTTTAATACTGTAATTCCAAATGTGTGCTTAAAGGCTAAACTGGCCAAAGAGAGAGGAGCCAGGGAATTCAGACCCACTGGAATGTGTGAGTGCCTTCCCAGGAACATCAGGAGCTATACAGCAACACCTGCAAAAGTAATTGGTCACTGCAGTGGGCAGAGTTATTCCCTTTTTACAAAAGCAGCTCATTTCTCATGCCAGAGAAAACAGGAATCTCAGTTAGGAACAGAACAGGATAAATCTGTTTGCAGTTACATGTCAGGGCTCCTGCAGGACACTGACTTCAGCCAGGGATCCAGTCTGCTTTGGTTGCTCAGTAGGAAACTGGTGTAACTGGGATGATCCATCTCCTCTGGCAATGGTCTCCCACAATCCTGGGATGTCAACAAAGTCTCCAACCCCTGCCAATCCCTTGGACATGGTAAAATGGAGTTTCCAGAGGGACATCCAGAGCAGCACAGGGATTTCTGAATCCCTGCCCCAGGGCCTCATAGCCCTACACTCCTGGAAACCAGATTCCCTGGATCACTGAGCCCAGCTGACAGCCCCAGCTTTGCCCTTTATACAGGGTCCCTGTGCTGAGCTTTCAAAAAGCAGTTTAAAATTACACCAGCATTGACTTCTCACATTTCCCCCTCCAAGAGTATCCCTTCTGTTCAGTTCTCCCACTGTCTCCTGCCATTTTACTGTCCCCCAGCCATTCCTGCTTCTTACTTCTAGCTGAAAAGATGAAATGGTTTTGGAAGGATTCAGTATTCTTACGGAGAGATGACCCTGCTCCCAGTAAAGCAGCACCTGAGATGTTTGCTGCTGCTGCCAAGCCCCAGGCCCAGCCCTGCCCCATCCCTTATCCTGGCAATGGGCATTTCCATGGCTCAGAGAGCTGATCCAGCTGAAAACTGACTTTTGGGTGTTTTTTCCCAGGTGGATTTCCCATTGGATCAGCTGCCTGAGCTGGCCTGCAGAGCACCAGGGGCTGGTTCCAGGGAGGCAGGAGAGGGCTGGATGCAGAGCTCAGAGGCACAGATTTGTGATCTCCCTAAGCTCTGGTTACAGGGCTGACACTCCCACAGGTGTTTCTGCAAGAAAATCCCAGCAGTCTCCTGTACCAGCACAGGGACGACCCAGGGTTCTACACACGGCAGCACAGCCGCTCCTGCCCGGCTCAGTCCCTGCTCTGAGCTGTCACCTGCACTCTGGGCTGCCCAGGGGCTGAGGGGACAGGCAGGAGGGCTCACCTGTTTGTGTTTCCTCTTGCCTTTGGTGGAGCCCTTGTCTGAGGGCTGTTTCTGGCCCTCCCGGCCGTGTTTCTCCGGGGCGCTCTTCTTCTCCGCCTTGGCTCCCTCGGGGTCCTTGTAAGGCTTCCCTGGTATCCTGGATAAGAGGCTCAGGTCAATCTTCACAATGAGTGGGTACCTTTCATCAGGGTCACTCAGCGGGGACAGAAGCTCTTTCTCTTCCATAGGAGAGAACATTCTCTGCCGGAAAAAGCTGTCATCCTCCTCCATGGAAGATTTAACAGGAGTCCTATTGCTCTCAGAGTATTTGGGTGTTTGTGAGGAAGGAGGCAGACTCTCATTTTCATCTGAATCAGAGGATGAGGTATCTGTTTCGATGAATTCCCTGGATTTCTGGGCAGATTTGCTCGAAGCCTTGTATTTCTTTTTCTCCGTTGTAGGCCGAGGGGAAGACTTGGGCTCCTTCTTTATATTGGGTTTCCTGGAGCCTTTGGTGGCTGCCTTGTGCCTGTTGGAAGGGATGTTTGTTGCCATGTCTACTGGGGTTTCGCTTTCTATTTTAAGACCTCCTCTGGGCTCTTCCACAGATGTCTTTTCTGCTTTCTTGGGCTGTTTTTTCCCTACAGTCCTCCTCTGAGTCGAGCTGTCGCTCTGGGCAGGTGATTTCTGCCTCCCACGACTGCTCTCCGAGCCCTTCTGGGTGGGTTTGGAATCTCTCCCTGGTGTAGAAGAAATGGAGTCCTTGGATCCACCTTGATCAGTGTACCCACTCCCTGTACCCTGATCCCGTCCCTCTTTCTTGTAGCCTTGGGAAGAAGGGATATTGCTGTCCACGGAAGAAGCTGGTGACACTTTATGGGAATTAACTTTGTTCAACCAGTTATCCAGCTGCCACTTGTTTGTGGGTGGTGGCTCTGGCTAAAAACAAAGTAAAAAACGGAGTTAGATAAAATATTTCCCATTTCTTCAATCTTTCCCACGTGGCAGCTGTATGATGCTGCACGCCAAAGCACGAGGGACACCCAAAACCTGATAAATGAATGAAATGATAAATAAATACAGGCCCAAATAACACAATTTTTCCCTTTGTCTGCTACTAACAGGCAATATTTGATGCCAGGGTTTTTTAGGGTTCTGATACCACATCTAATTCTGCTCTTCAACAGACAACTGCTGGTAAAAACCACTTCAAATCAAACATCAAATGTGGGCTTATCTAGAGAACTGTCACATGCAGCACAGGAACTGCAGCAGAACAGCCCAGCCTGACAGCGAGCCCGGGTTGGTGTTTTGCCTCTAACAGTGAGAATTTCCTGAACTTTAGTGCTGTTGAGTGCAGGACTGGAGGCAGCTGCTGCAGGGCTGCCCTACCTCGGGGGATGCACTCTGGGAGGGCTCGTTGGCCTCGCTGTCGCTGGAGCTGCTCTCGCTCTCCGAGTCGGAGCCCGAGCTGCTCTCGGAGCCGCTGTGGCTGCTCGAGTCATCCCTGGAGTTATCTGCTCCTTCACTGTTGTGCTGGGAAGGCTCAGAATTACTGCAACACAAAGCAGGGAAAGCAAGCATTACCCGAGGCACAGGTACACCCTTCCAACCCTGGCATTAGAAGTAACAAAATGTAACATTTTCATCAGCGTTCAGGGGAAAATTCAGCCTAAGTGAACAGAGTTCAGCCTTTGGGTGCTGCCCCTTCCCAAAGTGGTCAGTCTCATTTGCAGGAAATATTTAATATCATATTTATTAGTATTCAATCACTGATTAAATTTTCATCGCTTTTGCTTTAGTACAAGCCAAAGGACAAAGAGGAATTTTGGAAACAAGACCAAGCCAGGAATGCTGACTGGGCTGAACTTCCCCATGTGCTGCAATCCCCCAGGAATTCAATTCCTACCTTCCAGGTGTGCTCCTTGGCACGGTCTTATCGCAGTCCTGCAATTAAAAAAAAGAAGAGCATGAAGCTTCTAGAAGCTATTTTAGGCTGGTTTATACAATTAAGTTGTAAAACATTGGTTTAGAGCCTTTCATTTTAAAAATATTCATTATTTGCAGTAGTTTAAATTTACCTGCATTTTCCTTATACAGAAAGATAAGCAGCATGATTTTCTCTAAGTTTTCAGCACAAATCTCTGTATTCTGACTCCATTTGTGAGAGTTCCCATTTCTACCACTAATTAATATCTTGCTTCCACCTTTTTGAATCAGATGATTCAGCATTTCACAATGATTTTCCTGAGATGCCCAGGGTAAGTGGAGTTCACCACCTTCAAGTTTTCCACTTGAAGAAAATCAAGTACCAGAACTGAGAAGAAACCCCAGAGCAGTGGGAGTTACTGGGCAGCACAGACACATATTCCGTTTTTATTTAGCATTTAAAGTGCCAGTCTGGCAGAAGCTGCACAAAGTTAATCCTGGAAAGAGTAAAAAAGAGACTTTTTGATAAATATAAAGGTGCAGCTGTACTCTCAGGGACTCCTTGTCACCCCAAACATCCCAGGGCACCAACTCACACAGATGTTCACTCCATGAGCTCTGTAGCTGGGATGGCAGAACACAAAGGGGTTTATCTTTAATTAAGGAGCCATGATATAAGTTTTAAAGTGCACTATTGTAACTTGGTGTTCAGAGAAGGCCCACGTGAAATCAGTTAATAAGAATTTCTAGATAAAAGCAAACTGTTTCCACAAACCACAACATTTCAATTTGTTTGCACAAAATTTCCCCCAAGATTGCATTTAGGAATGCCTGAGGTTTGTCTAAAAACATTCCAGGAGATTTCAGTTCCACAGATCTCCTGCTCCCTGCCCAGGGCTGCCCCTGGATGAGTGCAGTGGTTTTTGGGAAGCCACCTGAGGAACTTACCTGCTCTCCATCGCTGTCTTCACTACTGCTGAGTTTTAAGTCATCTTTCAACATACTAAGGGAAAAGGGAGAAAGTGAGACAAGTTTTTCCAAGTTCTTTAATTACTTCCAAAGCTTTCTGCTAGATTTCAACATGGCACTGTTTATCCTGCAGAGGCTGCGTGGGTGAGAGCCACCAGACAGCACTCACACATTTCAGGGTTAAGAATGGAGAGTTGACTCATTCTCAGAGAAGAATGAGGATTCAGGTACTTTGGCTCCTGAGTCCATTCTGTTAAACTTAGAAAGGAAATCTGACACAATTTACTGGTGTGGGAGGAGGCAACTTGTGTTATGTTCAACTTCTTACACACAATGGGCAAGAATTGTGTTGGAGATGGAGGAAAGCGAGCCAGCCCCAGTGGCTGCTTCCTGTCCCGTGGCAGCACTGCCACTGTCCTGAGCCATCATTAATTACTGTATCCAAAGCCATAATTACTGCTGGTAGTCACACACACACAGCTTCACACACTGAGAATGCATGAGCACAATGAAAACACACAGCAGGGCCTTTCTGATTAGTGGAAACATTTGATTATAAAAAGAAAACATCTTACTCTGTCTGGTTCGATTCACATCTGTGGAGAGAAAATGAGAAAGAATTAAAAGTCTGACTCTCCTGAGTTTCCCAGTGAGCTGCTCTGCTGATCTGAACAGCAACACAACCTCCAGGAGCCCACTCCTGAACTACTGCTCATTGCTACCATTTTACAGATGATGCATTTATCTCCTTTTCAAGGGTTTTCTTTACCAAAATATATTTAAAGTTGTTTTCTCACAGTAAACTGGTAAATATTTATTTTTATGGGCAGATTTATTTGGAAACCATCTTTTAACTGCATATCACTGATTTTTAAGTCTGAGAAAGGTGGACTACAGCCATGCAGAACATTCCAGTTGCCTCTGAGTTTTTCTGTGTTGCTGGGTCTGTGTTCAAAACATTTGTCAGGGACTTAAAGGGAGAGCAGAACAAACCTCACAAGATGCCAGACCCAGTTTTCTGTCTCCTCCAACCCAAAACCTTTCCTCACCCTGAATTTGTGCAACTCCAGCTGCCAGCTCTGTTAGTCCCATCCCATGCTGATGCCCTTTCTGATTCCCAAGCCAATTCCAAGGTCCAAACTCCCTCTCCCCTCTTGGGGCAGCTGACAGGAAAGCAAAGGAGCAGAAAGGCAGCTCAGGGTATTTTTTACTCACTCCAGTGAGCAATATCTGGTTTATTGTCCCAAAAAACATTTCCCTGCCAGCCAAGGAGAAGGATGCTGGAGTGACACTCACATTCCACCACACACCTTCTCCTAAATTTCTTAAAACACAACTTTTGTTTGTGAAATGTTTGCTCAGCAGGCACTTACGATTTGGACTGATGACCATTGGAGGTTTTGGAGGAGGGATTGTATCGTTCTAGAAGAAGAAAAGAAGAAAAGGACAGCTGAAAACTCAGGCACAGCAGAAGAGTTCCCCCAAAGCTGCCACAGGGATGGACAAAGCAAAGCCATGTGAGGGGACAGGAGGGAGCAGCAGCAGGGGACAGCAGGCACCACCTCCCCCAGGCTGAGGCAGGGAGGATGCAGAGCCAAACACCAAATACAGCAAATCATTTAACCAAGAAAACAGAGAAAACCATTTCAATCATTGCTGTGTGAACCAATACACACTAATTTGTTACTAATGGTGTGGAAAACTGTTCTGCTCCTAGCAAGATGAAATTCTTGCCTTACACAGGCAGGATCTGGGACAGAGATGCACCTGCTGAGCTCTGGCTGCTCCAGCATCCCCACACAGCTTCTGATGGATGAGAACCCCCACCCCCCAAAATCCAGCTCACACACCAAATCTGACAGCAGGAATACACCCTGATACATTCCCTTCCCTTTTCTTTCATTCTGGTAAATAACTGGGTACAGCTCAACAAAAACAAGGACAGAGCTGTTAAAAGCTCTCCAGAAAATCCAAGAAGGCACAGGAAACTGGCTCTGTGTTTAATTAACCTTGGCTCTTCTTTTCCACACCTAAAGATCAGCTGCTCCCATAACGTGAGCCTGTGGTTTAGCATCATGGAATTAAGCTTGAATTTATTTCCTTAATTCCCCACTGTATCAGGTGTTCAGATTAAGCTGCTTGTGAATATCTAAGAATAAACCATTCTTCTTTTACTATTTAAGCTGTTTAATCACTTCAAGAGGAGTGGAAGGACTTTTGGAAGGTAACAGCACTAATTTAATTCAATTTTACCTGATATTTACTGAGTTTCATGTTCATTTCAGTAATACTCAAAATAATGACAGTTTAAAAGAAATAAAAGCTACTTTTTTCCAAAGCCCAAAAGTGCAAGAAACTCAAGGACAATAGCATGTGATTTAAGTTCCTGACCAGTTCTCTCTCTTGACTTTAAAATGTCAAAGTAACAATAAATGGTGGAACTGCCATGTGCTTTTTCTACTGAAATAAAAGCAAAAGTTCTCTTCTGGTTTCTAATATGTCCCTAAGCAGGGAGTTGGGCTTTTTAATGGTGTTTTGGTTTAGTATTCAGTTATTTTCAAATCAATCATAGAGGCATTTTGTACAGAATTGGATCAATTAAAATACATCTTTTCCCTCAAAAACACCACCCTTCCACTCAGTGATAACCTCCAAGATCTGAACAAGAAATGCAAAAGAAAATCAAGCAACTGTTTAACAGCTTAAAACTTGAGAAAGCAGAGAAAATCTGAGGTCAGCCTCCATCCTGTGAGCAGTCTGGAAAACCTCATTTCCTAAAAGCCCTGACATCTTGGGAGATGCTGAGAGCAGAAAGACAACAAAAATATTCAACACATTCCAGGAAGTTTCATGTACTCACTCTGTTCTCCAGTGCCAAAACTGGACTGCTGAGACTCCTGGGGGAATAAAACATCACAAGAGGGTTTTTTTCAGTGGGAATTCAAGGTACTAAAAACCAGGCTGTAAGGAAGAGATTATTTCTACATAATGGATGACACCATCTCTGGAAAAGGGGAAAAAACAACAACAAGCAAAAAAAGTGATTCTTTCCTAGGCCCTGGGGCACCCCAGGTGAGACCTTCACACTCCTCTTCCTCAGCCACTTCCTGCTGTTCCCAAGGGCACATCAGGGCTGAAGCTCCCAAATCCCTGGGTGACTTCCCTAAATCCCCTCCTCCTGTTTGTTTAGGATGGAGAGGAACTGTTCAGGATGTTTGTTTATGCTCCTGACACACACACACAAACTCTGCTGCTGTTTGAAGTGCTTTCCTTCCAACCCTTTCCTCCTCATTTTCCTTCTCCAGGCACACACAGAAATTGGAACAAAAAAATCTCAACAAAAAATATTCCTCAGCCACAAAGGAGCCTTAGGGACAAGGGGAGCTTTCAAATGGGACCAGCTCTGCACACTCTGCCCCAAAGGAAGCCCAGCCTGGGTGGGCAGCACAGCATTCCAGCCAGCTCTGGTAGAGAAGCCAATGAAATGGCATTTTAGAGGCACAGGATGGGCTGGAAGGGAGCTCAAAGCCCACCCAGTGCCACCCCTGCCATGGCAGGGACACCTCCCACTGTCCCAGGCTGCTCCAACCTGGCCTTGGGCACTGCCAGGGATCCAGGGGCAGCCCCAGCTGTGCCAGGGCCTGCCCACCCTGCCAGGGAACAATTCCTAATTCCCAATATCCTATAAAACCAGCCAGGAAAGAGGAAGCCTTGCAGATTTCAGCACTTTTATCTTCCTCAGTATTCCCATTTCATAAACTCCAATTCTGACTCCCAAGACTCAGCAGATGATGAACTTTACTGAAATCCCAAAGCCTTGCTTTAACAAATACACAGAGGCTATGAGCCACTGTAAACTCCCTTCCAGGCTCGAGTGCCTTTTTAAAATAGGACTTTCCTGACCTCATTTCAAAATGAGGACAACTGATAACCCCAGAAAAAATAAATGGAGTCCAATATTTGCAATTTCTAGTTGTATACACACATTTTACTTACATGCTCTGGCAATGGCAAACCAGAACTACAATTCAACAATGAATTCCATTTTTCCTGGTCCATCTGTGACCTGGTTTTCCCTCACACCAAGCCAGTGCCAGGCAGTGGTTCCAGAGGCAATTTACAGAATGAAGTTTTTATACACACAAAAGCTTTACACAGCAAAGCACCCTTGAGATGTTTTCAATTTCCCTCAGCTTTGTATTTCAAAAATGGAACAATGCATTGAACAAGAATTTTGTAGATGGAGACCTTCGTAAGGAGCTCTCCTTGGGAGGTGTTTCCAATACCTCTGATCTTTACTAATTGAAAGGAAGGGACAATAAAAACAATAATAAATTAAGAAAGAATTCAAGAGCAAAGTGAAGATGGAGAGAAGCCTTGTGAACAGCCACACTCCCTTCAAAATAAATCCATTTCTTATCATTTGCACAGGTAGGAGGAGGCAGGTGGGAATCCCTGGTTTCCTTTGCCACTGGCAGCTCAGCCAAGCCAACAAACTGAGTGAGAAAAGAAATAAAGACCTCAAACTGCACATTTCCAAAGCCACAGCACTGGGGAGCACAGGATGGGGAACTGGCACCCCTTGCAGCAGCACATGGATTGGGAATTGTGCAGAGCACACCTGCCTAATTCCCCACTTGAGTCAACTTCCTATTTCAGAGGCACAGCACTGACTCTCAGCTAAGTGCACTTTAATGAGGTGTTATGGCTCAATGTGCAACTTTTTCCAACTCCCTTGCCATCTACTGGATACATATTTCTTTAAGAAACTCAGAGACTAAAAAAAAAAAAAGCTCTACTTTCAACTCCCAGGTTATTGAGAGCAGCAGCTCCTAAAGGTCTGCTTCAGAAAGAAATTGCAACCAACTGAAAGGAAGGAAACCCTTTAAAGCAAAGTAGAATGGACTGAGGTTACACAGGGAAGACACTGGAGCAGGAAACAAAAACTCTGACAAAACCACCTGGAGAGAGGAATTCTCCAGCTGGACAGGAGGCAGCAGGGCTGGAGGGGGGAACATTCCCAGGTGACACCTGAAACCTCAGGTCACACCTGAACCCTCAGGTCACACCTGTACCCTCAGGTCACATCTCCTTTCTGCTTCCCAGGAGCAGAGTGTGTGTCCCAGCAGGGAAGGGAGGGCAGGAGGGTCCTGCTGGCTGCAGAGGGACAGGAACAGGGACAGGAACAGGCACAGCCAAGCCTTCTCTCCCAGCCAGCAGCTGGGCTGCTCAATGCATCTCATAAACACTGCCAGCATTGCTGGAGTGTCTGACTGCGAGCCCATGGATAAAATTATGGAGTGTTAGGGCACAGGATAACATTTTTTATCAAGACACAGCAATCTGCATTTTTCCATAGCATCCATAAAACTTTCCCTGACCTATTTTCATGGAGTTTTCTCTTCTGATCCAAGACTTCCTGGGAACTATTGGATATATTTATAGTAATCAGAGAGGCCCCAGTCAGGAGGTTGGGTTCCTTCGAGTTACTCACTCCCTACACACAGGGAAAGTGATCCCATCCCAAGAGTCTGACAAATAAAATCAAGTGCTCCACCAAGGGCAGCTCCATTTAATGTGAGCAGGAAGAACACACCAGGCTCTGCCCACAGGGGCAATGCTGAGAAACACTTCAGCAATAAATGGAGCACAGTACTAAAGAGAAGGAGCTTTCCTCCAACAGAACTGCTCGATTAAAGCAAACCACTGTTGTGTTTTGTTTGGTGGATTCTGCTCTGGGCCCAGACTGCACAGGCCCATGGCTCACTAACTCCCTGGAATTCTGCAGAGCTGCTGCTGCCAAGAATGACAGAGGGGAGAAGGCAGAGGAAATTATAGGCTTTGGATGCAGAGAGAGAATTTGACAGAGTTCCATGGCTAAGATGTGCAGCCACAAAATAAAAAAGCTGGCAAAAAGTCAAAAAGACTCAGAGCAGCCATAAATGGAATTTTTTGCAAACTGGGTGAAGAGACACAATCCAGGTTGGGAGGTTGAAAAAGCTCCTTTTTGTTCAGGCATTGCCAGAGCTGTGCAGTGTTACAGTGTGGCCTCTGGGTCACAGCCACAGGGATTTCTGCACACCTTGCTCTTCCCAAACCCAGTCAAATGCCAGGGAAACTAAAACCAAGCAGCCCCACAGCCAAGGGTGCTCAAAATGCAAAGGGAAAATATCTCCCCAAAGGTTCAGGAATGAATACTCAAAGCAGAGGAATAAGGACCTTTGTTGACAAGGAAAGGTGTGGAATTTCCTTGTAAGAAAAGGTATGAATTATTTCCAGGCTGACAGTTTTACATAGCACACAAATAAACCTTGACTGAAAGTAATATTTGCAAGATTAATATTGATCTAATGCTAGGAAAACAGAAAACAGGATTTATTTCTAGGTATGCCTTCCAAAGTAAAGCTGAGAACTGAATGGGAAATTCTGCATTTTTTGATACTGAAGAGGAGCAAAAAGCAGTGACCAGGGACAGGTCACAGAGAGGTGGTGGCAGCAGGACTGCCCCTGCTCTGGGATATCCAGCCAGGATGAGAACCTGAACCAGTCTGGGGGAGGTTTGTGGATGTGCCCTTCCAACAGCGACTGGAAGCTTTGGCTGGAGGAAGGTCATGACAAAGCAATCACATAAAAGGATGGGATTAGAGAGATGACAGTAGAAACCTCAGTGAGAAACTCTTCTCAAAATTATTCCCTCAGATGTTCTGTTTTGGGGAGCAATTTGGATCAAACAGGAAATTAAGAGCAATTAAGTGGTGTCTAGAACAGCAGCTGGTGAGAGAGAGCATGGTCTGAATTATTACATAGGTAACTTTTAAAAGACAAACAGGGCAATTTCTTCACTCTGAAGCTCTGCCAAGTTCGGGGTGGAGCACCCCAATTGAGCCCAGAGAGATGTTGAGTCTGGAGAAAAATCACATTGTGGAGCTGAATCTTGTACTGGTAATCAGCAGCCCCAGGAACCAGAGCATGGATTCCTGGGTGAGTCAGCTCCCCATGCTGCCTTCACCCACAGCTGCCTCCCTGGCCTTCCAGGATCCTGCAGAGCTGCTCTTCCAGGCAAACAATTCCCAGTGCCCCAAGTGTGCCCTGGAACCCTGGAGCTGCCAGGCCCAGCCCAGGGGAGGCAGCAGCAGAATTCCCTCCTCAGAGGTGTCAGCCCCAGCAGCTCCCCTGGACACGTGCCCTGTGCTCTCAGCAGCAGCAGGGGTGGATTTCTCTCTGGAATTAACTGCTTAAACCCTTCAGCACTTCTTAAGAACACAGGAGGTTGGGAAGAGGATCTTTTGGAACAACTGATTACTTCAGCAAAACATGTGATTCTTAAACTGTCTTAATTTTGTTGTAATTGAAAATGCAAAAAAAAATCTCACACAACTATTAGTGGACTTCAAACTAAGAGGAAAATTCAATTTATGCAGAAAAGCCCATTTAAATTTCTCAGCATTTACCATTCAGTCTCTGTTTTGCTACATGGAAGCAAACTCACTTGGTTCTACACAAAATGGTGCAGAGCATTTCCCTGTTAGGGAAAGGCCTCAAAGGCATTTCCAAGCTTCAAAAGTTTGAAAGTTTGAATTTATCCCACAAAAATTAAAAAGGCAAGTTGTATCACAGATAACTTTGCAGATTGTCTGTGCAAAGCAGAGGAAAACCAAGGACATTTTTCATAAGGCAGCTGCTGACAGATGAGGTGAAGATAAATAAAGAGGGACAAAGCACTGAAACAAACCCAGATTATGCAGAACTGAATGCAGGAGTCCCAAAATCCTGATCTTTAACTGGAGTTATTTTTTCAACAGCATCCACTGTTGGATTTAGCACTGACCTTGGTTGGAAAGGGGAATTTGGAGGGTTCAGTTTTGCAGGGGGTGTGGATGGCAGTCAGTGGAGGAGGCCAGGAGTGGGTCATCTCCTGAAACACAACAAAAATCAAAGTTATTACCAAAATAAATCAGGTTTCAACTTGCAATCTGGATTCTCTCAATTTTCAGTTCATTGTTCACCCTTCACTAAGCTTTATATTCAAATCTTAATTTCCCAAATGTGCAACAAAAATTTTGCATGTTAACCTGAATGTTCAATTGCTACCCAGGAGAAGAGAGAGTTATGACATAATAACAAGCAGCAAGGCATAAATCAATGAGCTGGGCTGGCCTGAAGATAAACTGCAGTGCAAGTCAGAGTCTGATCCTTTCAGAGTGTGTGGGAAGAAGAATCCTAGGAAAGGGAAGCCTGTAGAATTTGAGGAAAAGGGGGAAATCAAATGCCTGCAGCTGGAAAGTGCCTCCTATGCTCTCAGAGCATCCCCAAGGCCCCTGGAGGACTGAAGGTCACAGGAAATAATAATAAGCCATGGAAATGCTCCAGAGGGACCTGATGATGTTTATGTGAGAGCACACACAGGACAGGGCATCACAGGAGGGGTAAAAGGACTTGGGAAAATAACCCAGGGATGAGAGAGGGAAAGTGCTGCCATGGGGCAGCAAAGCATTTAGTATAATCTAAAATATCAGGATTAAAAACTGTAATTTGGTGGAAGAAATGTAGTTCTGATTATCAGGGAGGAGGAATGCAGTGAGGATCTCCAGGGGATCACACACAACACCCAGGGCCAGCTCTGCTCCCAGCTTGGCCCAGTCCCCCTGTGCCCACCTGCACCTGGACAGGCTCTGGCACTGCAGAGTCCTTCCCCTCCTCAGGAATGGCTGCACTTTCTACAAAGTAGGAACAAGAACACCAAGAACTTACTTTGAGGATTTCATCCACGCAGCTCACCTCACCAGAGGCTGATGCCTACAAATCAAAACTCAAAATTAACATCTCCCAAATTTTCCAGGGACTGGAAACAGTTAAAAACAAACTTCAATCCTTATTGTGACTCATGCGGACTCTACATAGACACAAAGAGCCCTTGCTAACTCTTTTCATCAATTTTCACATCAGATAGAGCCATGTTTTTATGGCATGAGTCACAGTTACGAAAAGCAAATACATGCCATCCATAAAACTGTGATAATAATCTCTCACTTTTCACTTGACAGTTAAAGTGATCACAGGCAGGCAGGGATATTAAAAACTTGTAGAGAGGGGAAAGAGAATCACAGCTTTCAGTCATTTCCTGGAAGCAGCCCCAGGATAATATCTGAGTTCAAGTGCAGGACCGTGAATGCACAGGAATGACAAAGTGCATTCCCAAGTAAAACACTCATCACAGAGAGATCCCAGAAACAGCAATGATTACCAAACTATGAATCCTCTGCATCCCTGCCTGCCACAAGCAGAAAGAAGCAAAGCTACTTAAGGATTCACTGCATCAGCATTGATGTGGCAGGCCTTCACAAATAAAGGAATTCCTGATTTCCTTACCTGTGTGCTGGATCTTACTTTGCTATCTGTTGCAACCCCAGGAACAAGGGCTTTTCTCTGGCTACCATGATTCCAGCAGTTGGACAGGAGATGAAATGAGACTTTATTACTAGCAAAGGCACTCTCCTTGTAAGTGAGCTGGAGTCAGAGTCTGTGTCCTAATGATTTGGGAATTACCAAACTCCTCCAAGTTGTTAACCCAATAGGATTTTATATCCAGCACGACTGATAAAAGTTCTGCACCCTGTTCAATGTGGTGTGAAGGCATAATAATCACATCTAGTAATTGCTGCTCACTTCAAAAGAAAATCTGATACAGGCATATTGTATCAACAACTCTAAGTCAATTCAGCTCCCAGGAACAACAATGTATTTACCCAGCTTGTCAAAATATTTGTGGATATCCTACAATTTCCCTAACTCCTGACTAGAGAAATACTCTGTGAAAATTGGCCTCTGGGGGTTAAGTAAGCCTTTCTGAGTGTCTCAGCCTTTATTTAATAAAAAACCCAGTATCCACACTGAAGAAGCAGAAGACAAAAACAATTCCTTTTGCATGCTCCCCACTGAAAATACAGCATAGGTGAAGGTGCTTTGAGTAACAAAAACACAGTGTTTACTAAAAACTCCATTTGGGTTAGGCAAATTGGGACTTTGGAGAGGCTGGAAAATCCCAGCCGAGGTGGATTTACATTTAAGAAGGCAGGACAGAGCCAGTAACTTACATCCAGTGGCTGAGAGGGAATTTTCAGCTTGGTGAGGTGCGCCTTGCTGCTGGGTTTCAGCTCGTTGACGCCGCCGCCGTGGCTCTGGCTGCTGTAGTGTTCTGAGGGAAGCTTTGGCTCCATGGACTCCTGCCCGTCCATCGGCCTGACGTAGGCAGTGGGTTTCTGTAACATCGAGCTGGACTTGGACATCAGCGAGGGGGGGAAGGACTGGGTCGAGTGCTGCCCGCTGGCGAAGGAGGGCACGCGCGAGGGAGAGTCCCAGCTGGGCTCGGGGTCCCGGGGCGACTTGGAGCGCTGGTGCTCCTTGCCGTGGTGCTCGCTGCCGTGGGCTCTGGAGTGCCCGGGGGCCAGCGAGGCCACGGCCGGCGGCTTCCCGGGGCTGCCGGAGCGGCCCTTGGAGTGCTCGGAGCCGTGCTGGCCCTTCTTGCGGCCGCCGCCGCCGTAGGAGTCGCGCTCGTGCCGGGCCCCCGCGGCCGCGCCGCCCCCCGAGCGCTGCCCGTGGCCCCCCAGCCCCTGGGAGCGCTTCTGGGACTGGGCCGAGGTGCTGGGGGCCGGCCCCACCGGGGTCCATTTGCTGCTCTGGTGGGAGCCCGCGCCGTGCCGCTGCTCCCCGAAGAAGCCGGGCACGGGTTTGTCGTCGGGCGCCGTGGGCACCGAGGGCTTGGGGATGGCCACGATCTTCTGCAGCGGCCGCTCCCCGATGAGATCCGTCATCTCATCATAGTTCCCCAGCATGCTCTGGATGCGGCTCGACAGCTTGTCCTCTTTGCTGGTCTGGGACAACAAGCCACAAAATCGGGATTTAGAACCGATGACAACTTCCCAGGAAGTTAAATGGTCTGATAGCTACAGCACTAAACCTGAATTTCAGCCAGAATACACCCCTTTCTAGCACTCAACCTGAATTTCAGCCAGAGTACACCCCTTTCTAGCACTCAACCTGACTCTCAGCCAGAGTACACCCCTTTCTAGCACTCAACCTGACTCTCAGCTAGAATACACCCCTTTCTAGCACTCAACCTGAATTGCAGCTAGAATACATTTCTTTCTTTGCCAGCGTTTACAATTCTGAATTTTAGGTCTTAAAACAGCAATTTGACTCCTTAAAACATATTAAAAATATGTAACAATACATATTTAACTCCCTAAAACATACTGAAAATTCAGCAGCAGAGACAGCTGAAGCAGCAATAATCAAATAATGCACTGCTGAGCTGGATGCCAGTTCCAAAGCTGCAGATGCCCCCTGTCACCTTACAGACTGTAACTTCTCTAATACAGAATGCATCACTCCTAAAAGGTTTTAATTAGCAGTAAAATAAAATCAGCTTAACCTCACCCCCGTAAGTCATTTTTAATTGGTGTTTATATTGGCACAACGTTTGTTGCACACAGTTAAAAGGGTTCTTTGTTCTATAACCACTTTGTTTTCTAAATCTGGGATCCTGGATCATTCCCCCATGCACCCCAACCAGCTCCAGTTAACTTCACACATGTGGAATTTGGTTATCAAGCACAGGAACCAAAAAAATCATCAGATATTTCTCAACTTTCCTCCTGCAGGAAGAGAGTTTGCAGTCATGTTTTACTTCTTGCAAACCAGCTGAAATTGCAGCAAGGGAAGGGTTTGCTTTCAAATTGAGTTTTGAACGATGTAATTAACCTATTAAATAATATTTTATTAGTTATTCCAGAATTAGGTTATTTTTTCCAGTACTGTTCAGCAAAGCAACCTGGAAGGAAACCCAGCACAGGCTGAAAGCTGTGCAGGACCACAAACAGAATATTCCTTCAAAAATTCCTTCAAAACAAACTAAAACATCAGCTACAAACTACTGGAGCACTAGCTAGAGCTGATAATTCATGTCAAACATAGTCATATCAAATATTCCAGCATTTTAAATTAACCTCCTATTTAAACATTCTCTTTGTGAACTTATCCAGGTCTGGATTATGTTGATGAAAGGTTAGAAAGTTTAGCAACAGTCTAAAGCACCCCAAAAATGGCAATTTGGCAGCACACAATGGACAGTTTAATTGCTTTGAATCACTGTATAGAAGGTGGAGGAAGGAAGGAAAAAATTTTGATGGTTTTATTTTCCTTTTTCTCACTCCCTATAAAGGCTCCTCCCCTTCCCAAGCATTATAAATCTGCCAGTGGAGCTGTGACTGCCCAGCTTTATTTTCAAGCCCTGCTTAAACACTTCATTGCCCTAAGAGCTTTCAAGAATAGAGATAAAAATAAAACATGCATTTGCAGATGATTTCTGTTCTAAACCCTGCATTTCTCTGAGGTGCAGGAACTCACCACTTTGTAGGGTTCAGCAAAGAGAGGGGAGTTGGGTGGGAAGGCTTCGTCACCCTGCTGAATTTCTTGATTTCGCCTTTCCCGTTCTTTCATACGCAGCACATTCCGGTCTTCACGGTTCATGTTGCTGCGAGCAAAAAGAGCAGTGCTGATCACACAGGGAAGCAGGAGGGATGTGAGGGCCCAGGGGAGGGATGAGAGTGCCCAAAGGAGGGATCCAAGTGTCCCCAAGCAGCCTCTGGCCCTGTTTGGCCACGGAGTGATCTCTGTTAAGAACGCACTGAGGGCCACAATTCCTCAGAACTGTCCAATTTCAGCCCCCTCCAAAGGGCTGTAACCCCCAACCCACAGCTGGCTTCTAACAGGGAAACTTTATGCAGCAATAAAAAAAATTAAATCAAATAAAACCCACTAGGTCCTCAGGCAAGCAGCTATTTCAAACCACTTCACCCGCTCGAATCATCTCGGCTCCAGCCCACGCCAAACATCTCCCATTCATTTCTAAAATACCTTTTCTCCCCCACATCCCCCAGATGTTCTGCCATCCCCCCACGAAGCAGTGCTTGACTTCTCCTGTAGATTAGGGTTATTTTTGGTGCTGAAATACCTTTTTTTGGCACCATTCTCCAACATATTCTAACCTCAAGCTTTGATGTGGTTTCCAGGTCGCTCTCCCTCCCTGATCCCCAAAAGGCATTTAACCTCAAAGCAGTAATTTCAGAGAAGTTCTGGCAATAATGCACCTTTTGCCTTGGACCATATCCTCCTACTGCAAAAATGCAGATTAAGAACCTGCCAATCCCCCTTCTTAACAAACTTTCCTTTGCAGTTTGGTCTTGCTGCTTCTGTTAACAGAAATATATCAAATTCTTGCAAAACACACACAAAAGTTGGAAAAGATTCCCCCTGAGCTTGACACAGCATAAAGGAGTAAACAAAATGAGATGATAAATAAGGTGCCACTAACTCCTTTAACATCAAACCCCAGCATGGTTTGGGCTGGGAGGGGCCTCAAAGTGCATCCAGTGCCAGCCCTGCCATGGCAGGGACACGTCAGGGGCACCTCCCACTGTCCCAGCTGCTCCCAGCCCTGTCCAGCCTGGCCTTGGGCACTGCCAGGGATCCAGGGGCACCCACAATGTGTGCTGAACTCTGCATCTAGAGATTTAGAAATGTTCCTTCCTGATCTGCACAAAGTACAGTTGGTGCATGCAGGAAAGACACTGATGTTCCACCACATAATCTGCAGTCGAAAATGAAAATGCTGGCTGCTTAGAAAATCATTATTTCATGTCTTTAGACAGCTGATTATTAAAAATAATAAATGACTTGCTAGAGCATGACTCTGAAAGCTGTGCAAACCCAGCTATTGCATTCTCAACAAGAAAACTTCAACCCATCAGTCAGTTTTTACAACATGAGTCTTCTCACCTCAGTAACATTCCTGCCTCTTACGTTTCTTCCCCATTTGGCTTCACTCTGCCTATGGCTCTGAAATCTCAGAGGCTGCCCAGAGCAGCCCAAACCCAGGCTGTAAGCTGAGATCTTTGATGCCCTCTAAGGCACCAGGTTTGCTGTATTTCCCTGCCTTGCAAACAAGGTACAAGCACTGGCATAATCCAACACTGTGATGATACCAAACCCATGAATACAACTTACATTTTATGTGAAAAATCACTTTTTTCTCCAGTTCTCCTGTAACCTGCTGAGCTCATGTAACCACAGGTGGCCACCAGGGCTGAGAGAGGGACCTGGCACTGGAATGTGGCCAGCAAACTCCTGCGATCATTCTGGCATTCATGACAAACTTGTTTTAGAAGTTTGAGGCTTGAAAAGAACATTCTTGAGACTGCAATCCAATTTGTCACATATGTAGGATTTCAACACAGATAAATATCAGATTTAATTACAGACACTGATCAGTTAAAGCCAACTGGAACAGTCTGAGTCCATGGCATTTACTATTAAAAGCAAATTTGGAGGCAGGGAATAGCAATGCTCTGGTTCTGGATGGTTCATTCCCACCAATACACTAAGATCAGGAATTACATACAGCTATATGTCCAGAATATTATAATCTTAACAAAGAATTTTACATCTGTTTCCCAAATAGAGGGTTAAATATTTATAAAGACCTTCACTATTTTTTACAGAGATAAGCATCACCTTTTAAAATTGCATCGACATTTCCTGTAACTCTCAGAGCTGAAGAAAAACCATCATTTGTACCAACACTGTCACACAAAAGGAACATTACAAGAAAGATTCACTGGAGATGTGAGTGGTGCAAACCCCGAGCTGATCTGGCTGTACCTGCCCAGGTCAATGTAAAATTAGTCACCAGAAAGACACCAGTTAATGACACTTTTAACCACTCCTCCCCAGCCTTTTGTAACACAGTAAATGCTAAACACCCTCATGGGGAGTCACCTTGACTGTGGGGGGATTTAGTTTAGCTTTCTTTAACTCTTTTACATTTTTTATTAGAGCAAATAGTTTGACTGTGATACAAGTTAGACTTGTTGGTATCTAATCATCCAATCTCCACACAGAGCTATTTTAAGCGCCTATAATGTGTACAAGGCCATTAAAATCACACCAGCATGAAATGTGTAAATAGAGGAAGTTCGTGGGGCTTCCTTAGCTCTGTACTTCAGACAACTTCCCACTCCAACCCAACCCTCCACAGCCACCAGAGGGGAAATGTTCCCATGCTCAGGGAAAGCAAGGAGGGGTACTTTGAAAGGCAGGTGACCAAGGCCTGGCTGCTGATCAGCACTGCTGGCATTTAACTCCAGCAGGTAGGAAACTGCAGGAGTTCTGTTTTCAGACCATTTGAAGTTGTAACAAACCTTTAATATCCACTAAAATGCACTGCTCCCACCACTCCTACCCCATCCTCTGGAAACAAGGACAGCACCTCTGCTCCTCCCTGCACAGGCCTGGAGGTGGACGATGAAGAACCTGTTGCCTTGTACCTGGTGCTATCAAGATAATCCTGCTAAAATTTCCCTTTTCCCAGGTGGCCTGAGCTAAAGAGTGAAGGAGGAGCAGAGCCAGGCTGAGAGAGCCAGAACAATGTCCCTGCAGCAAGGGCCAAAGTCATCTTAGCTGCCATATCTGGGAAAAGAGAAGTTCAAAAATTCTTTAAAAACTCAGAGAACAGGCCTCAAGCACAGGAGAGTATTTCCATTTTTAGGAAGTTGAACTCCACATGGTTTGAGTCACTCCTCCTGCAGTGTCCCACTGTACTTTGAACAGTCCCTGTGTCTGAGATTTCCCTGCACAACCAACCCTTCAGATCTCATGCCTCTGCTCCAGCTCAACAGGAAGAGCTGAAAGCAAGCAGGAAATCCAGCAGGGAATTCACAGAAACTCCTGGCCCAGCCTCCCCTGTGTGTATTCCTGAAGCACCGTTCCAGGCTGCTCCAGGCACACTGAGCACGTCAACACCAGCACCACCACACCCTCCAGACCAGACACAGCTTTCCTTTCTCCTTCCAACCTCTTCCTAAATCCCACCTGGTATTTCTGCTCATCCCTAATCCAACAAGGGCATGCCTTTGGTTTGAGAGATCACCACCTTGGGTGTGGAACCTGTGGGATGAAATGGCAGAGTTGGTGCTGCCTTCTCCTCCCACTCCCTCAGCTCCGGGCAGGGGGCACATCCCAGCTCTGGGGCTTTTGGAGACTCCAGACTAAAGATAAACCCCAAGCAGCACACCCACACTGCCTGAGTTCCCCTGGCAAAGCTGTTAAAAGAGAGAGGACCTTGGCCAAACCCTTCTCACCCCCTGAACCACATCAGGCACCCAAGTCCTCGCTCAGCTCAGCACCAGCAGCATCTCCTCATCTTCCCAAACTCCATGAGGCAAAACCATCAAAGGGCAGGCTGGCCAGGGACCCTGCACAGGCAGCCCATGCACGGGGATCTGACCCCAAACACCTCAGCAGCCAGCAGTGCACCTTCAAAGCCTGCTGCAACACCTCCACTTCCTTCCAGACATCCTCATCTAACTCCAGGGCCTCTTCAATCTCAATGGGTTTTGTGAGCAGGAGGAATCAAACAGTTAATTGGTTAATTGGCTGCCATGAAAGCCCAATTTTGGCTAGCAAGGATAAACAGGCTGAGAGGGAACGTGCAGGATCCCAGCTCCGTGTGGGGCACACCCAGCTGCGGGGGCACACCCAGCTCCCATGATTTCATCCTTTTTCTTAAAAGGAAGGGGAAAAAGAGCTGCAGAGCCTGCCTGTAACAAGGAATGATGTTTTCAGGAGGCATTTAAGAATACCTGAAGCTGCCTTAATGCTGCATCCAAAGATTCCTGTTGATTATTTAAAATATTCTTTTTACCACAAGCAAGGGGCACCTCAGGAGCTGGCACAGGACACTTCTCCCAGCTTGTGCATCAAGCAGGGCATCACCACAAATCCTGCCCTGAAATCATGTGCATGAGCCTAAAGTGCTACTCTGTCAGCTTTTAATAAAACACACTCCCAGAGGAGCTGTTTAAAAAGGAGACATTGAAAAATAACTGTTCTGCAACAACACAATTAACACAAAAACACCGACACACAAAGAGGAACGTGCCCTGGTGCCACCAAGAGCTACTTACAGAAGTGAACATAAAATCTTAACTTCCATGTTCTATGTGATGGTGAAGAAGAAAAACACAGAAAAAAAATATAACATTTCCCACTAAAACAATACATCTTTGCCCAAAAAAGCACAAATAGGATTCTCCAGGACAGGTTTAGAGGATAACTGTGATGGTGCAAATACAGAAGCAGCAGTCATCTTCAGAGTTTTATAACTGAAATAAGGAACACAATTAAAAACAAGAGTTTACACAGAATTCAAACAGTTTTTGTATGTGTCTAGACAGAGAAAAACCCCAACTTCTCAAAAGCATCAAGTTTTCTGTTTCTGTCCCTCACCTTCTGACACAGAGGCTCCATGCCAAGGGAGGGGATTTGGTTTGGGATGGTTCCTGGTGCACTTGGGGCCTGCTCTGCCAAAGGAAAGGCTGGGATAGCACCAGGATCCCAAAATTCTATCCGAGGAACTCAGAATCACAGGGGGAGGCTGCACAGGTGAACACAGGAAACCCTGAGCCACCATCCTGCTCAGCTATTTTAATGAGAATGAACTTCTCCACAGCTCCAGCTCCCTCTTTCCAAGGTTTCATTTCAGCTCTTGGGAATACAATTCAAATACAATTGTACTGATAATATGATACAAATATAAATCAGATTCACCACTAACTGAAACATAAACGTTTCTCATTCCTACAATACAAACACAAATGCTTCTATCCCACCCCTCACATCAGGAGTTCCTACTGCACACTCAACAGGGAGAACACAAAGTGCCCCAAGAGCTGTCTGGGAACACCTTTGTACGTACTGAGGGTGGGAGAGCTTTAAAGAAAAATAATAAAGAAGTGAGTTGGCCTAGGTCTGGCTAATGTTTGACAAGAACTCCCAGGGAGGGCAGAGCCAGCAGTTTGCTGCAGGCACTTCTCCTTCCCACTCACTCTGGAGCACCCAGAAATCCCCAGCAAGCAGGATGTGCCTGGGCTTGTGCTGCTCCCCAGACAAAGCAGCACAAATCCTTCACCACCGTTAGCTGAGAGAATTCCAGAGCACTTCTGTGGGAGCACTGCCTTCATTCCAGCTTCTCAGACAAGTGATGGTGCAAGTAATTACATCCCGCTTTTGAGTTTTAGCTGCCAGAGTCCCCTTCACCCCTCAAATATCAGGTTACCTGAGGATCAGTCAGCATCCTCCACCTGAGAAGCCAACGCACAGCGATGGTGGATAAAAGAATTACAGTGATCATTTGTAACTCAACACTAACCACTGGAAAAGGACTTGGGGATCCTTTAGAAAGAGGCTCTGTAAGTGTAATATTTCATTTAACAAGTCCAGATGAGAACTGGGTGCATCATTCATCATACATGAGATTCAGCACACAGCCACAAGGGAGAAATGGAGTTTGGGTTGGAAGAGACTAAAAATCACCCAGTTCCATACCTCCTGCCAAGGGGAGGTAAAAGAACTAAGGTGAAAGTGAACCCCCAGCACCTGGATCTTAGAAGGCAAGTCGAGGAGGACATTTCTAAATTCAGCACTTGCAGTGCAGCTCATTTAAGACCAATTTTAAGCCCATTTTAAAATCATACTACTAAAACAGCTTAAAATTGTTTATATCTGAGAATTTGCAAGACTGGTTTGATGGAATTCACTCAAGGGACCTTAAAAATGCACAACCACACATCTTAAATGTCTCGTATTTGTGCAGAAGCACTACCCAGGAGGGAACACGTCTGGTCCCCCCTCCCTGATGAACACAGAAATTAATTCCCAACTCTTTTCCTTCACAGGAGCTGCACAAAGGACACCAGTCCCTCCTTTCTGTCCTGTCTCTTCAGGAAGGGGAGAGGAACAGGAAAGGCCAGCAAGTGAGAGCACAGAGCCCTGCTCCCTCCTCCTCTGCATGGCAGGGAGCAGAGCGAGGGTCACTCCTCCAGCCACTGTCCCTCTGTCCCCAGGCTCCATCCTGGGGGACACCCCACATCCCACAGTGCCACCCCTGACTCAGAGCAAAGGGACTGACACCACAAAGCCACTAAAATTGTCATTTTCTGCACCTAGACCAGGTCAGGTCAGGATTCCAGGTCAGAAAAGGCCCAGGAGCCTCAATGAACTCCTGCCAC